CCAAGTGACATCCCCCGCCCCGCCCCGAGGGAGACGGGCCGAGGCGGATGTTGCTCCGCGTCCCTGAGGGGGGTCACCCCTGCCGTACACCTGCCCCGCTCCCTTCGTGAAGGGGCTGTTTTTCCTCGCCCCCGCCCCGCGATGTGGGGCAATCCCGCGGGAGCGGAGGCGTCTGCTGGCGTCAACCCGGGCAGGGATCGCTGCCTGGCCTCTCGCCGCTCCCCGGCGCTTGGGGGGAGAGGGTGCCTGCGAAGACAGCAGCTTGCCCCTAGGTCGGGCTTTGCAGGGGGAAGTGTGCGCCCTCATTTTAATCTCACGCTTCTGCCAGTTGCGGCCAGGGAGAAGGCAGGGATTTCTGTGTGGCTTTCCCAAAAAACAGTTTATTTTCCGAGCGCCATGTCTGTATCAGCCCTGTAAACTGTACCAGGTATTCACACCTTTTTCAGGCAGTTGGTGCTCTGTGGCCTTCAGAGAGACGTGTGACGAGACACATGGCATATGACCCTGTGACCAGGGTGACAGCGGGGAAAAGATCTGAGCCGTTTTTACTGGATTGTTACGAACGTCCAGCTGTAAAGCTAGTTTTTTTCTATATTTTTCCATCCTTATAGCTTTATTTGGAAACAGATCAACTGACTACTAGTGCTGTGTAACACAAAATGTGTGTATTGGCTTATTTTGTTGTAGCCGTTCTTTGCCAGCAGATTGTTACTGTCAGGTGTCTTCCAGATACTCAGACTTCTGAGTTGAAATGCAACCATCAAGCTGCTTTGTGGTTTTCTTCGTTTTCAGTTTTCAGAAAAACTGCAAGAAAGCTCTAGATGGTTCTCTGGTTTTATGAGAGGAATAAAAGCATTTGGCAGGCTGTTTATTTTGCCTGAGTATTTAATAAAAACATATTCATAGTTGTCAATGTTATTGGTTTTCAGTTGGTTGCTACCCTGCCTGAGGAAATTCGTCCTGGGCCTGATTTCCATGGACTTCCATGGGAGCCTATTATTATCACTGCCTTAGTGGGAATTGCCACACTTGCTGTAATTTTCTGGAGAACCTGCCTTTCAGTGAGTATACTTCATGCTTGCAAGCCTGCTGATATTTCACTTGCTGACAGGTCTTTTGTATAGTTAAACTGTTTCAGCATTACCAGGGTTAAAGCAATATGTAGTCTTTCGCAGTTTTGCTTTTTTAGAGCATTAATATGAACTAAATGCTGGGCTTAATAGCTAAAGTAAGTTGTAATTTTCTTCACGCTAAGAATCATTTCCTTTAAGCTATTAATTGAAGATTTTCTTTTTAGTAAGGGGCAGTTTTGAAATCAAAATAAGGGAGTAGATGTAAATCAAGAAGGCCGAGAAAAGGGTCAGCATATCTTTGAACTGAGAAGCCTTCCATGTGTTTGAGCCTGTTGCTGACTATCTCCAAAACAAGCAGTTAATCCTTCCCCCGTCATATTGTCCAGCTGCTTGTAGGTGCTGCATTTAGAAACCTAAACACCTGATCCTAATTCTCACTGGAGAGCTCTTTCCCCACTCTGCTCCTCACTCTGCATTTGTCCTTCTCTTTCCTACACAGATAATTTTCTGTGCAAGAAAAATAACCATCACCGCTCTTAAGTATACCGGTGCATCTCCTTGGGAATCGATAGATGAGAATCAAATAGGATAGTTTATTTTACAGCTGTCCAGTTCAGTGATTATATGCTCTGGAAGTCTGTGGAACACTTTATCTCTGCTTGACAAAAATACACTAAAACTAAATATTATCTGTAATAACACTGGTAGTTTTTTTCCTTGCTTAGTTTTGATACTGAATACGCTAGGTCAGTTTCAAATGCAAAATAGTGTTAATATAACAGCATAAAAAGAAAGCTTCTGAAATTCTTTAACGGTGTTAGTTTCGAAATGAGCAACTGTCATGTAAACATATATTGCTTTAAATGGATCAGAACTGGGATGCAAGTGTTTTTTGTGTTTGCAAGTTCATGACTGTTGTTTGATGCAAAATGGCTTCATTTTCTTTGTTGCAAATTGGATGTGGGCAGTTACTGCTATCCTTTTAGCGACTAAGTAAAGTTTACTAAGGCTCTAGGACAGGGCATTAACCTAGAAGCTTTTATTAGAAAACAGCTTAAGCTTGTTTGTAGTGTTATTCAACACTCTTGTTGGCAGCAATAGATGTGTTTTCCATGTGCTTCTTTAATCCATGTGTAAGTGGTAACTTTTTGTCTATAGGAAAAATTAATAAAATTTTTCACTTACCACTTTTATGGCTAATTTTTTTTTTTCTTCTGTAGGTAAAGAGTAGAATATATCAAGGTAAGTTTCTTTTTTTTTGTGCTTTTCAGTGTACTCAATGCTTAGGCATGTAAAAGTTTTGAAGATTGTTTCAGAGGACTAAGTGTCAATTTTCACTCCCTTTCAAGGAGAATGTTAAGTCTGGGGTTATGGTATAAGCTAGGCTGGCAGATGATACTTATCTGCATCTGAGGATTTCAGTTTTGCTTTTGATAATGCTTTGATTAGGAGAGACAATGCAGCTCGCACTTGCAAATTAAAGAAAAAGGCAAGGAAAAGCTCCACCTTGTTCAACATAAATGTGATCCATTGGTTTACTGGTACAGTGGCAGTGCGACAGAGTTTGTTTTGGTTTTCTGACTAGCAGTGAATCTGCTTTTGCTTGTTGCTTCTCACAAAAAGCAGTAGCTAGTTCCTCTTGCCTTTTTGGGTTGAGGGGAGCCTGAAACTGCCTGCTGTGCAGTTGCAAAGAGACCTAAATGGAGACCTAAATATGCAGATATTCCTGTGGCTAGCACGTTGCTTTTTACAAGGGCATTTCTCCAGCTTCAAGTATATAAAATTAAGGTGTACTGAATGGAAAGGAAATAGAATTCAAAGTAGGGCAGTTGCTGAAATTCGTAATTGAATACAAAACAAAAATATGAAAGAATTGTCTTCACATAACTCTGCCTGTTTCCTCTTCACAAACTGTGCTTGCTACTTATCTGTCATTCCTCTCTAGTTTCATTGTAGTTATACTGCAGTTTCCTTCTATGTAATTAATGCAGAGTTGGTGAGCTGAAAAAATCCATCTTGGATCTGTAAGGAGATTTCGGTGCTGCAAAACAAATACTATTGGAGGGGGAAAAACATTGGTATTGGAAATTACTTAGCAGCCCGCCTTTAAAAAAAAAAAAAAAAAAAAGGATGAACATAGATCTAATCCCCGTTTTACTTTTTCCCCCCAAATATTCTTCTGTATAGAAACTACTAAAGCTAAGAGCAAAGAAATATTTTTCAAGCATGATGAAGTTCATGTTGTTATTAAAATCTTTATCTAAAAGGGAGGAATATTAACAGTGACAAAAATGCATCAAGAAATAGATTGCATTTGGAATCCCAAAGATAAAATCTATTATCCACTCTTTCTCACAGTAGTAAAATTGGGAGACGAAGCTAATGCAGGGATTCCTGCCCCCCTTAAGCTGCTGAGAACTACCTTGTACCTCAGCAGTCTCTTGTTGGCTCTCCCCTCCCCGGAGCAGGAAGGGCTGGGGATCCTCTGGCCCAGAAGCCCTCATGTGGGAGGGGAAGGAGGAGTAGCAGTTGCCATTGCACCCTGTGGGATGCAGTTGGAACAACCAGTGCTTCCTGTTTGTGCTGCAGGATTTGGTGTGAGGCAAATGGGGCTTGGGATGTTCAAATACGGGGGTGCTTAAGGACTTGAAGAAGAATGACAATTGGATGTTTCTTGAAATTAATTTGCAATAAAATAATTTAAGTATGTTAATGATTTTTGTTGAATCCTGAGGGTGGGTTGGCGACTTGTTTAGGTTGAGAAACAAATGCGTGCCTAAAGAGCTGTTGCTCGGTCACAGCCCTTTTGAAGTCTGTGAGCAATAGTGTCTGTTAGAAAGCCGTGCAGTTCCTTGAGGCTTACTGATGCTGTCTGGTAGCTGACAGTCTCTTTTCTGTTCCCAGTAGGTCTTTCAGGGCTTTCAGCCTATTGTCTTTGCTGACCAAACATTCAGTTTCAATACAGCAGGAAGAGGTGGTTGTTAGGGAAGGTGTTGCATCTCCCTGAGTGTCACAGGGGACTGAGACTGCTTTGATATCCTCACTGCCAGTTCTTCCCTTGAATGTACTTCATCTGTGTGTAGCCAGCACCTTACTCCGCTCTGCAGTGCGTTCTCGGACCAGCTTCTGTGAAGTGGATGCAAGAGCTATATGCTTTGTGTCAGAGTTCAATGCTTTACTGTCTTGTTTTCAATCCTAACTTTAAATGAAACCTGGAGATGCATAGACTCCTGCAGAAAGGGCCGACTGCCAGGGAATTGACACTATCCTGATTTTTGCTTTAGTCCTTACTTGAAACGTTCCGTAAAGTGGTAGCAATGATAGCTTTGATTCCTCCCCCCCCCTGCCCCGGATATGAAGTACAGTTACTGTAAGCTTTCTTTTTCTTCCTAGTGACTGAAAAGCAGCTTGCTGAAAAGATTAAAAACCTGCTACAAGAAAAAGCAGAAATCTTAGAAAAGATGTCAGAATATGATCAAAAGGTATTGTTCTAGGTTCTCGTCCTTTGCTTCCTAATTTTCTGTTATTGGTTTAATGACACAGTCAATGCAACAGCTAGTATATTTTTATTTTCTATTCTTACTGAATACTATATTAACAATTCCCTCAGTTCTGTTTGGTTGTTTCTGTGCTTAGATAAAGGAAGCAAAGGAATCTGTGAAAGCGGCCCAAGAACAAAAAGACGTTCTCTCCGATGAAACTGCAGGGCTTAAGGTAAGAAACAGTTAACTCTTTCTGTACTGAAAGCAAAAACATCGATAAAATAACTTGCTTTAGTTGGTCTTTTATTCTTTTTTTTAGGACACTGTCAAAGGACTGGAAGAAGCAAATCGTCAGCTAGATGACAAAGTAAAAAATCTGCACACAATGCTTGAAACAGAGAGAAAAAAGAATGAGAAGAAACAGAACAAGGCAAGAGCAATCACACTGATGTCTTATATTGTCTTTAACTTAATATGCCATAAAAGCTGTTTCACAACCTAATGGGTAAACAGGTAGAGGTAGAGCAAACAAGATGGACCATCTGAAGAAGAACTGAAATGTGATTTCAGGTTCATCCCAAGCTCAAGGGGGAGAATCTATTGATTGCATGGTGGTTGATTGTTTGTTGGGGTTTTTTTGTGGGTTTTTTTTTTGTGTAAGATCTTGATGAACTTGTGTGGTTGTGAGCTTTCACACACAGACGGTTTTATTCAAGTCATGGGCTAGTCTAATACTTCCTAGCCAAAGCCAGGAAATTCCTTAGCAATGTGGGCTGAAGGTTTCAGGTTGGTAAGAGACATTTTCTTGTACTTAGAGGAAGCATCTAGTTCTATAGTAAGTGTGAAGATCTCCAAGCTGCCTGTCACTCTTCTTGTCTAGAGGTACCTCCTTCTCTTTTTTTTTTTTTTAAAGCCTAGTTTTCTGTAGTAATGGTAAGCTCCAACAAGTCCTTTGGTGCTTTGATCAAAGGTTGCTAATGACAGCTGCACGTGGTACTTTCGTTCTAGACTGCGCAGGTGTAGCAGGAACTTTCCTAGCCACGGACAGGCAGAGTCACAGGGGGAAGTTGATTCTCATATGCTGTGTGTTTCTATTCCTTGCCTTGCTGATAAGGCAGTGCTATGTTGCTGCTAGTCTAATTGCTGCTCTAAATGGGAATTTGTTAGTGTTTTGACTTTCCTTTTATGGTTCCGAAATATACAGATAAAGTAATTACACACTTGGGCTAAGGCATGTACCAGGCTAATACAAAGTCACTGCTCATCTTTTTTTTCATATAGATCTCTGAAACCCAGAAGTCCTTGGAGGAACTTCAGGAGGCTATCAGTGTGCATTCTGTAGAACTTTCAGAGGTAAAGCATTATCTACACCCTCGTAACAGTCACACATACAGGTTCTTGTACCAGGAAAATTCTTATCTAGGATGTAATTGAAAATGCTAGCTTGGCAGATTCCGGGTTGTTTGTGCATGTATACCTTTTTCTTTTCCGTTACTAGGTAATATGTAGCTCTTGCCCCATTACAGTTTGACTACATGTCTTTTTGTTCCTTTTTGTTTCATATGTAGGTGCAGGTAGCCCTTAATGAAGCTAAACTAAGTGAAGAAAAGGTGAAATCTGAGCTTCATCATGTGCAGGAAGAGAATGCTAGGCTGAAAAAGAGCAAGGAGCAAGTAAGTTATGCCCAGGCCAGGCAACTGTGTTTCCCTTTCGAACGAAATATCGGTGCTTTATTCCTAGTTTACTTGAGTATAGCTTCAATGTGTCTCCATTTTCTTAACATATCAGAATTCCATATTTCATATTACCAAGATAAAATTTAAACCCCTTGCGCCTGCCTGCACAGGTTTTTTACGCTGGTGAGCCACATGTCTTCAGTATGAAGGCTTTGCCAGTTCCAGTGATTCAGTTTTTGTCAGCAACTTCACAGAAAGTCTGTGCTGATGTGGTGGTCACTGCATGGTCAGGAGATTGTTGCTTGGGATCAGGACTGAAGGAAGTCATGGTAGAGAATTGCCAAAAAGCAGTTCTGAAGCTAAGCTAAATGGGGAGGGCCTTTAGCCCTGAAATGTCATGAGAGTTCTTTTACAGATAATAGTAAATATCTGTCTGTTTTCTTTCTCCATATATGAAGCAGATGGCCTTTTAAGGAATGTGGTTTGATTACCTCTAGACTGCAATTTAATTCCTCATATTTTGAAGTGTGTGAGCAGCTTGGTTCTGATGTTAGGATATTAGCTGAGAAAATGTCATATTTGTAAAATCACCTAATAATATAAATTGCAGAAAGATTCCCAGCATCCAGTTCTACCAATGGACTAGTGTTGAGTGTGATAACAGAGAAGTATACCCTTTATCTGTGATCTGTGGTGATCAGTTACCACCAGAGCTGGTAGTAAAATATACTTTAATTACACATATCCTTTACTAAAAATAAAACAAGTAATCATCTTGCCTTGGTGCTTCATATAGCTGCTAAAAGAAGCTGAAGGTTGGAGTGAGAGGCATACTGAGCTCAGTGAGCAGATCAAACTGTATCAGAAGTCTCAGAAGGACATAGAAGAAGCACTCGCCTACAAGGAAAATGAAATTGAAGTAGGTTCTTTATAACAAGCTTGCTTTAAATATTACACATCATAAAATACTTTGGAATACTTTACAAGATGCAGAGCGATTCTCCTTCAGTGAATCTTTGATTTCATTACTAGGTTTTAACTAACTGCATTATGCAGCTGAAGCAGCTCGACATGGATTCAGCATCTGAGGCCAAGAAGGATGGTGAAGGGTGTGAATGGAGCACAGGAGACGATCTGGCCAATGGAGAGTTGCCAGGTACAGTAACCCTACCTGCTGGCTGATATGCCCAGTGGCTAAAGCGTAGGTGGTGGTATGTTCATGTCATGTCATACGGGGGAACGAGGGGAATCCATGCATGTAGCTGCCTGTGAGTTAAGAGACTGCCAGCTTTAATCCTCAGACAACACAAAATACCTCCTAACAGAAGGGAGAGACCATTAAAAAGGCCTTTTTAGATTACTGTTTAGGTATATCGTAAGTGTAATGACACAGGTTTAAAGATTGCATATAAAGGTTAGCAATTAAGAACATTCCAAAAGCTGAGAGTCTTAGCTTTGTTGTTATGCTACATTTATTTTTAATATGAATTTTTAATGAGTATTGTGCTTACCTTCCGGTTAGATAATTACATTTACGTAGTCACATCTTTTAAATCTGAAAGACTGAAATAGACATTTTCAAGACTGTTCAGGAAGTTTGTCATTCCTGATGTTACACATGTATTTACTACATCTCTGGTTTTGAAGTCTTTTTTTTAATTTTCCTTTTTTCTAACCATATAGTATATGTGGGCTGGAAATTGGCACTTTCTGATTTTCAGATAGTATGTCCGATAACAGATACTGCATTCGTATTAATGTTAGTGTGGTGGCTAGAAGAAGTGACAAGAAGGAATCTTCTGAATGCCTTTTGGAATATCTAATAGCTCTGTTATGCTGGTCGTGGAATTGCTACTGTATTTTGTTCCTCACCTCCCTCTTTTTTTTTGACCACGTAAGGAGACCTATCCCAGATTAAAACGTAGGGAGTGTTATTTTTAACAGCTGTGGAATCCAGGGAATTGGGGTTAAGAAACAGGGAAAACAAATATATTTTTCTCTTCTAGATAATGAGAGTGAGAAGATGAAGACTCAGATTAAGCAGATGATGGATGTCTCCAGGGTATGCTGCACAAGATATCTAATAAATGCAGCCACGTTACTGCTATGCCTAAGATGATAAATTTTCTGCTCCTCTTTTCAGGTAAGAACTATGTTATCCATAGTTGAAGAAGACAGAAATCTTCTGCAATCCAAACTGAGTGATGAAGTAACAGCAAGATATGAGCTCGAAGGTAGGCTTAGCAAAAGGATTGCTTAGGCTGAAATGATGTTTGTAGTTTAAAAACAAAGAGAGCATTTAAGTGGCATAACGGTTCTTATTGCAACTTTCTTAACTTCCTCCCCTACCTTTGCTCCTCCAACAGAGCAAATAAAAAAATTAGAACATGACTCCTGTTCGCTCCAGTCAGCCAAAGCTCGGCTGGAAAATGAATGCAAAACACTACAGCAGAAAGTGGAGATTCTTGGTGAACTTTACCAGCAGAAGGAGATGGCACTCCAGAAGTAAGCCTTTCATTACTCTTCCACAACATAGCATATTATCTCATATGCACTATCCAAATGCTCTTTGCTCAGTGGGATCAAATAACTTCAAGTTGTATTTGGAGTGAAAGGTGATGACTACTGTTTCAGTACGGTTAAAGCCCTTTTTTAATTTTTCCACCATTCCAGAGATGCTAAAAAGACTGTCACTCTGCATGCACAATATTGCCTTCTACCATAAAAAAAATCAAAAACAAAACCAAAAAACCCCCGACAAGTTCTGGAGAGGGGATATGGGTGGCTTGGTCTGGAAATTCTGTGGTTGCTCTGTCACATTGTCCAGGAATGTCAAGGAGAGTAGAGTGGCCATTAAGATTTGTTTCAGTTACTCAGATCTCAGTTGAATAAGTCTAAATCTCATAATGTAGAAACTTAGTATTTTAGCCTTGTGAGCTTTTTGCATTCTCAAAGGGCTAAATTAAGGTTGAGTTCATGGTGATAGATGAGATGAATGAATTGCTAGCAGTGAAGAACTAGTTGTGTATCTGTGTTCATTCCTCACTTATTTATTCATTTATTTACTTACTGAAATGTCTGTAATACCATCTCAATGTTGTGGGGAAAATTTGAGATAGGATTCAGGGACATTTTCAGCTAAATTCTTTAGGAAAACTGAAATTGTGGTGGAGAGGCAATTGCAACTTCCAAGGTGCAAGTGTGGAGGCTGGGGGAAGCACATGGTTAGAACAAGCTAAGGAATTGAGTCTATACAGCACCTCAGTAGTGAAACTGCCTGACCTCCTAACTTTAGGATCCAGGTGTAGTAAACACATAATGGAGAGGTGAAGGACAGCCCACCTTTCAAGGAAAACTTCCTCTTGACCTCTCTGAAGGATTTCTATTCCTTCCAGAACTTGTAGGAAGTTACACTGCCTGTTACTACTTCTTGATTCAAATGAAGGACTTCCTGAAACTTTTGTCTGGAAAACTGTTTCCACATGAAGCCAAGGAAATGGATTATGTTGAACTGGCTATTAGCAGTAGTCAACTTACTACTAGTTTAATGGTTCCAGTTTTGTGGGATAGCTCTTGTAAGTTAGAAACACATTATGGACCTCTTAAATACTTCCAGAAAAATGTCAAAAATAAAAAAATTAGTGAACAATGAGGTTATAAAAAGACTGTGGAAATTGCTCATATAATAAATTGGTATGGAGAATGCTTGGAAAAAAGCTTCTTTCCACACTGTTGATGACTATGGAATATGTTTGCCACCTGGGCCGTAAATTCCCCCTTTTTCACTACACATTCATTTCTTCATTTCCCTTGGTTAGATGTCAGTTCTGCATATTTCCTTGTTCGTACCTTTGTAAATCTGGATTACCATTTGTAGAATTGGTAAGTAAACTACAGGATCTAAAGAGATGAACTGTTTGCAGTTAGATTCTGACAAATCTTTAGATACTGACAGAACTTCCCGGTCAAATCTGCGTCCTTAATTTATACATAAAGTGTTTGTCTGTTAGTTTCAAAAGACAGTACTTCTGTCTCTTTTTTCTAAAAAAAAAAAAAAATCTCTTTATTCTCTCTCTGTATTCTCACGCCTTATTATAGATTCTGATATTGTTGTTAGCAGGGGACTACCTTGATTTTGAGTTGTAGTAGATGTAGGATGGTGGAATGTATCGTGCTTTTTAATTTTTTTTCTTCCCCCACCACCCCCCGCCTCCTGTGCAGAAAACTAACCCAGGAAGAGTACGAGCGTCAGGAAAAGGAGCAGAAATTGTCTGCTGCAGATGAGAAGGCTGTGCTGGCCATCGAGGAAGTGAAAGTTTACAAGTAACGAGTTTCTGAAGACTCTTGTTTTCCTTTATTTCAGCTATTGAAGAAAATTCATTTAAACCTCTCTTCTTCCCCTCCTTTTCCTTTTGTACAGGCAAAGGATCCAAGATATGGAAGAAGAATTGCAAAAAACAGAGAGATCTTACAAAAACCAGGTAAATTTCCTGCCTTCTGGTTCTTGTGTCACCTTTTACTGCATACTAGTAGTTGGACAAAATAAGGTAAAATGCTTCTTTTCTTCTCAGATTGCTGCTCATGAGAAAAAGGCACATGACAATTGGGTAAGAATGTTCTTCCTTTTCTGATGCAAACAGTTTGTATTTGACTTCAGGTTGGTGCAGTTAATGCAGTTGGCAAAATTTTCCCTAATAGCTTATTGCCCGCTCTGCTGAGAGAGCTCTGGCTGAAGAAAAAAGAGAAGCAGCCAACCTGAGACAAAAGTAAGTACAGTACAGACCATTTGTATTGCTCTTTGAAAACATTCCGTGTTGCTTGGGAGAGAAGGAGCTCAAACAATGCAAGGTGCTCAGTTAACCTGCTTGCTCACATGTTATTTGCTTGCTCACATGCTTATTTGAGTTACTAATTTTAAACTACTATTAAACTGTTCTGATGGTTAAAATAAGATTTCTTGGTGAAAGCTGTAACATTTTACAACGCAGTTTGCCTATGATACTGTCACATTATAACAAATACAACTCACATGTATTATTTGAATAAAAAAAACTTTATTTTTTAAAATTAGATTAATAGAAGTAAACCAAAAAATCGTCATGCTTCAAAGACCATTAATTGTAAAGCCAACTCCAGGCAGACCCGATCGCCAAGTCCCACCACGACGAGGTAAATGTTGCTGTTTCTCACAAAACTTTGGTCTTTCAGTCAGTATATCCTAAAAAAATGAGGCTATGATAAGTTGTAGAAAAGTAAATCAAGTGTTTTTTCTTCTTTGGCATAGGGCCCTTAAGCAGAGATGGCTCTTTTGGCCCATCACCTGTGAGTGGAGGAAATCCATCACCCACACAGATGATAGAAGTTCCTGCTCGGCCCCTTTCTGCTCCTCGAAGGGAAGGCTCAAGAGGTGAATTTGGTAAGGAATGAAGCTTCCCTTTTGTGATAACTGTCTCTTACGCTACAAACTCAAGAACGCTAAGGTCTGATCTTGGTTCTAGGGGTAGTGGTAAGTATTGATACCTGCTTTATTAATACACAGAGGGATGATTTTTTTTTTTTTTTTTTTTAATATAGAAATAGCTCAGGCACGTGTTGATTAGGATCTCTGGGGTTCTTGTTTCCCTTAAGGTGCAGTGGTAGATGGCCCCCCTGCTCCACGAAGGCCACCGGAGTTACCTGGAAGAATGTCTGTTCCTGGTAAGTTACGTGGCCTGCAACCAACTGCAACTTACTCAGTTATTCTTTCACTTCAGAAATGTGATTTGAAAAACCATGTTCCTTATCCCACAGCAGGGTAAGACATGCATTCATGACTCTCTTTACAGATCTCGGGCCTGCTGTAGCATCTCTGATCAGTAGTGGGCCAAGAACCTCCTCCCCTTCCACAGCAATGGATGGAGTGGTAAGCTGAAAAAACCCCAACCTTCAGGAAGTATTTCTAATACATGATTCACTGTACTTCCTGCTGCTTCTTTAACTGTATCATGTTCTGTCTTGTCTATATCCTGTCACTATCCTTATTTGCTGTCCAAAAAAAAAAAAAGCAACCCTCTCCCAAAGAGTCTGAAGCCCCCTGTGTAACTACTGATTCACCTTCATCTATCGAACCAGCTACAGTGAGTATTCGGAGGCTGAATATGGCGTTACTCTGCTTTGATGGAGAGGAATAACAGGCTTGGTGTTCTGAACTGCTAAATAACAAAATGCTCTGCGAAACTAACCAAGGGCTTATACCTCTGTCTCAAAAGGTTTCTCTAATGATGAACAGTTGCTGTCTGGTTTTTATGGAATTGAGGAAATGAGATCTTTCTTGTTAAGGACTGCAGGCAAACACTTTGGAGTGACTACAGCAATAATCCCAAGAAGCTGACTTACCTGTGGTATTTAAGCACAATTCCATACGTAATTACAGGTGCCAGGCCCTTTACCAAAGGGGTGTCCACCGAGGACACTTCAAAGAGTGTCAAAGAACTTTTCTTTAGTACAGCTTCAGCTAAAGAAAACTTGTCATCTCAGAAGGTACACTAAGCATTCACTCCTAGGTAGTGCAAGCAGTGTTCTGGGTGAAGGGACAATGATGGCACAGTAACTTTCCCTATTTTCTACTTGGTTAATGTGTTTTGGGGTGTGGTTTTTTCTTTTCTTTTTTTTTCCTCCCCCTCCTCTCTTCCACCTCTTAGCCTTTGGGTGAGTGGTTGTGGTGTTCAGCAGTGTTCTCTGATGCAGCGAGTAACACACTGAAGTATAACCTAATCTTGCACAGGCGAATCCTAGTCCCAAAGGCCCACCTTCTTTCCCTGGGACACCTATCATGACCTCCCCAGTGATGGGACCTCCACCTCCACCGCCTGTTCGCTATGGACCGCCGCCAGCTCCTCTCCGTGGGCACTTTGGTCCTCGACCTCCTCCCATGCCCCTAGGTACGGTTGCGTTGCCGCGTGCTGAAACTTAACTTTGCCCACTGTGCTTCTCAGAAGCCTGCTACAGAACTGAGATCTGCCATCCACTAGCACACAGCTTCCCCATGCTTCCTGGGGTCTAGCTGTCTTGTTCAGTCAGCTTGGACAGGTGGGTTGTTTCAAGCCTCCTTAATGCCAAGGTGTTTTTCCTTGTTCAGTCTAAAATGGAAACCAGCAGCCAAAAGTCACTAGACGATAATCCACAGCCTGCGAAGTCTGCATGTGACAGGGGCCCACCCCAGAGCTGCTCCAAAAAGTGAAGAAATGAGGAACAAGTCAGGAGCTTCACCATTTAGGTTAAAGCAAGATGTCATTTAATTCCTTGTTTTCCTTTCCTTCTAGTTCGTGGTGCTCCCTTGCCACCTCCAGCTGCAAGAGATTTCTTACCTGGCCCACCCTTGGGAATGAGAGATCTGCCTCCTGGCCCGCTACCGCCTCCTCCAGATCCGAGAGGCTATGGTCGTGGGCACCCTCCTTTTCGACCCCTAGGTCCTCCTGGCCCAAGAGATTATCCTCCAGGTCCACGGCTACCCCCACCTGGTTCAAGAGACTATACGCCTTCTCCTAACAGAGACTTGCCTCCACCAGGACCTAGAGACTACCCCGCAGGCCCTCCGCCACCACCGGCAGGCTCAAAGGACTACACACAGCCTCCAGTGCAGAAACCCTAACTGCAGCGCCTGGTCAGCAGCTCAACGGAATGGACTCTAGCGTACTTCCTGCAGTCAGGATTTTAGGAAATGGCTCTCTGTTTGAAGCCATTTGTCTCATTTCAGTATATTTCAGCTTTTGCGGGATTAATTTTTATCCAATTGCTACAGACTTATGTGCATTTATGATCACCTTAAACTCATCCATCCTCTTGGGCTGCAAGAACCTTTTTGTGATGGACTTGAACCTACTCTAAACGTGCAATAGAAAGGAAGTACCTGTGTGGCTAGTTTTAATTAAATGTAGCCTCTGTAACCAGTTGGTGAATGAACTAATTTCGTGAAAAATGTATATCAAATCATTTCCTGTGGAAATAATTTTTAAGTAAAATGCTATCCTACCTGCCTTCTCCATCACATCATTAAGCTGCAGTTACTGTAGGCCAGGGGTTTACATGAGGACCGTGAGGTGTTTAAAAAAAGATGTCTGGTCAGAGATCAGAAGCACAAATGACACTGTATTCAAAGGAAAGTTATAATAAAAAGCAAAATTCCTTTTGCTAAACCCTGAAGGCTTTGTTTCAGTGCCATTTTTTATTCAGAAGGGACATGGGTTCAGTAATTTAACCAGAGAATGCTATAGCCGTGACCAAGTTCAAGAACTGAATCAAGGCTGAATAACTGCTGCTGCTGCAAGATCAATGACTGCATTACCCTTGTGCTGAACTAGCCTGGTGTGTTACGGATTTGCTTCACATCATGAGGACAATGGGGGATGCAGCCCTCCTCAGCTGAAGGGCAGTACAGAGCTGGAAACCTTTACGAAGTTGTGTAGTTAGTGTGGAAATATAGGTGAATGCTCCAGGACTCTAGAAACCAAGAAATTTCATAATCACTTTCAAGACTGACTTGCAGCATTAAGAAAGATTTGAGAGTTGAGTTTTCATCTTACTCAGTATTTAAGACTGATTCAGCTTCCTGGCAGTAAGGCTGTATTTTTACAGCCTTTTTCACTTACATTAATTAAAAAAAAAAAAAGTAGTTTTCCATAAAGCACAGTGGGTGTATGTAAACCATATTAACCTGTATTGCTTTAAATCAGTTTGCATACACAGAACACTGGATAGCTTTAAAAACACACCCTACACTTGCAGATGTTCAAGGAAGTCCCTGAATGTAAGTGTTAGTACAAGGATGAGTATGTAGTATTTGGCACAGCAGGCCACTTACTTCTCTAGACACTAGGGTTTTTCAAAAGTGCTCTGTACAAAAGCAGGCCTTAAGGAGGGGAAAAAAAAAGGGAAAAAACTAGGAATAATAAAAAAACCCTACTGAAAGGCCATTACAGCTTTACTGCCAGAGTACAAGCAGCCATTAAAGTTGCCGTCTCAGTGTTACATTCTTCCAGTACAAGTATTAAGCTTTAGATTTAAGATGAAAGACAAGACAGGACATCACTAAGCATAAAACAATACAAGAGCTTGTGTTGTGGGGAGCAGTAGTTCTTCCAGTGAAAGACCATTCACAGAAAAAACACAAAGGATAGAAGCAACTTTAAAAATGGTATTTCACACTCTACAGACATTAATTCACAATTAGTTAAATACAAAGTTCTACTTGTGTATTTAACAAGAAATACTTCAAAGTTGACATTTCATATAACTGGAGTTAATACAGACGTCTACAAGCTGGGGAAGAGTCAAGGTAAGCAGCTGAAACAATGGGTTTGTAATTCAAGTGAACGTGTTCAATTTGCGTAGTGGCTAATGACACGCACGTTGATGAACATTCGTGTTTGAAAGTCAGGCTCTCCGAGTTCAGGCTCCGTCCTTCCCCCACACCACGTGCTGAGATGTTCAGCGCCTCCTCCCCTGCCCACCCCTTAACAACCTGGAGCCGGATGGAATCGCCCTCTGGGAGCACCCGGAGGAGCAGGGGACGCCCACGACTGCCTGCAGTGCTTTTGCCAGGCCCTGGGCAACACCAGCTGACACGGGAGGACAGCAGAGCGGGGACAGAGCCGCACAATCAATCATCCGCCAGGAGGATGGCGGAGCCGGGACAGAGCCGCCCAACCATCCCCTGCTGAGCGAGACCGGCTGTACTCGCTGCAGGGCACTCGGTGCTACAGATTCTTGGGAGGTCAGAAAGAGAGCGGAGGCAGCCAGGGACCATGGGCAGGTAACACAGCGAGTGACCGAGCTCAGACTTTTTTGCAGCCATAGACTTGCGCTTTGTTTGCTCCATCCTTGTGCAGAGTTCAAACGATGATTTTTTTTTATTTTTTTAAGAATGTATGCATCCTCCTCCTTTTGTCTGGTATCCGGAATGCTGCATTCAGAGGTATTTCCATAACTCGCAGGGATATCTTTTCAGGGCTTGATATTCAATGTATCAGATGTAATACCATTGGGGTATTGTAAAGACCCGTAAACAGGAAAATTCAATTGCACTTTTTTTTTTTCCCCTCCAACCAGTAGTGGAATTTGAGGAAGTGTTGCTGACTTTTGCTGTAACATCTAAATAATGTCATCCCTAGTTATACCAGAACAGAGGGAAGGCAAGAAGGTTAGCACATTCAAAAATAGCTTTTTACCCTAATCAATATGGTAAAGCCAAAAATGTTGAACACCTGCCTGTAGACAAATATCATGAGGAAAAGTAACATCCCTTCTATTAAACCATAATGTAACATCTTGGGGTTACATGACAGAAAAGAGGAATTGGTGATACATCTGCACCCAGGCTGTTTAAAACAAACCTAATATTTGACACTATTTTGGGAGCTGGGTCTTTTGTTAGCATAGCAGAGTATTTAGGCACTAGTTAGATATGGAAGAAGTATATCAAACCTTAAAGTATTGTATTAAATATCCACGCAAATATATGAAAGATTTACTGGGTTCTACTTCTGTCCCTTTATTAGGCCAAAAGGTGAATGCAAGTGTGTCATTAATAAGCCAATGTCCTGCAGCTTATTACACACCAAATCAAAAATATAGAAAATAAATGATAATGCTATCTACTTACATAAAAAGGTAATTTTTAGACTAAGTTTCCAGACTTGCACAAAATATGCAGAAAACTGCATACAATCAGTTTCGATAAGAACAGCAGTTTCATGTAAAAAGGTGGGTAAACCTGCTCACCAGATCTACTTTACCAAAAGCTCTAGAAAATTGACGCTTGAACACTGAGGGGCCTGTCCTGCTGTCACTGAAATGGTGAAACACCCACTGCCACGAGGACGAAGCCCTGGAGAAAGCCCCTCTCCATCCCCCACCCACCTTTGCAAATCACTCTGTGACAAGATACAGAAAAATCAGCTCTATTAGGGAGTAACGGTGATTTTAAGGATCATAACATGTATTGTATCCAAAACTCAGTTACAAGTGGATCAGGCAAGGCTGTTAAAATCATAGTTCAGTGTTCTCATCTGCAGTTGTCCTCCTGGCCCGACCAAAGCAGAACAGCTGACTGAGGAGCTTTTCTGTGGCCACCCCACTTGACCCAGCATCCTCCCCTCTCTCACTTTAAATCACTTGCAGTACCTCAAGCTCCTTCCCTCCCCACCTCGTCTTTCTCCTGGTCTTCTGCCACCCAGCCCGCTACAGAGGACTCTGAAATGCAGATGAGAGGAACTACAATAGCACAGCAAGTGTAAACAGGTTAGTAGGCCTGCCGCATCTTTATTGCTACAGGTTCGGCAAAGGGGCAGTCTCCATCCTTGGGTGGAGTTTGAGGCAAAAGGATAATACCAGTTAAGATAAAAAGTGATGAACAGCAAAATTAGGAAAAGCAGTCAACATATTTCAGGGCTCTCGGAAAAACCTGTATCTGGAAAGTACTGAAAGACACTTGCAGTTGAATGGCAGGCTTGCCTCTGACCCTGAAGCAGTGCTGTGCAGTGTGTGATGGTCCCGTCTGACCTACTGGCATGAATACAGTCGTTTTCCTGCCCCTCAAAGGCTAAGGCTACTACACACAGCTACCATGACTTGTGGTTCAGTTCACAGAAGTCTCACAACGAGGGTCATTCCTTGTGCAATGTTTGATGGAGGTGAAGGTAAAGTGGTTTCTTGGTCAACAGTTGCAATTTCTTCCTTTTAAAATCAGTGGGTTTTTTGTACCTGTAATCACAAGAAAGTGAGTTAATCCAAGTGCTAACAGCTGCGTAGGAAGATGAAAGCACACTAGAAAGCTTGTCCTGTACAGATCTTATGACCGTAATCTTTTAAATACATCTGACAAGACTTTCTGGAAATAACAATAATGAATAGATTTACAGGACACAAACTCAAACCAGTATTTACTCTGGATTATTATTTTAACAAAAAGATTTCAATTTTTAAATTAATGTGAGCTTTTTGTAAGGAGAATTCATGATGTAATACTCTGGACTGTAGGAAATGCAGTGTCCCCTACTTCAGTACTCAGTATCTCAGAACTTCAGAAGTACACCAGCTAGCACAGACTAAGCACTCTTCCTAGAGATGTCCAGAATTGCAAGGTTCACCCTCTTCTTGAAAAAAAAACCACTCAAAAACCTCTCTCAGACCTTCAGCCACACAGTGAGGGTAGGACGCACATCATAACCACTGCAGCATAACTGGCTAATCTAGTTCTTTGTCTACTTAGAGCAGGGGAAAAAAACAACCACCCAACAATGCTCTGAAATGTTCACAAAATTCAACTGCAAATCAGTATCCCAAGTCTCAAACCAGTTTTCCTTTACAGAAGTTCTGCACCAGAAGACTGTGGGAGTTGAAATGTTTTTTTTTTTTTTTTAATACAGCTGGTCTGACACTCAAGCTAAGGTCAAAATTAAAACCTCCCAATTTGTTAACTTCATACAAAATTTAGTTACAAAACACCAGCATTTTAGTTGGAAATAGTCTAGTTTTTGAGAAGAGTCTCTAGCCATTTTATTTGCCTAAAAGCATTTTCTCTTCCCTTCTTTATTAAAAATGGAGTATTCCTTAGGGAAGTCAATCTATTGAGTCCAAGAAACCTTCCTTGATGTAGCAAGGTCATTTCCTCTGCCATTGGCATCTATAATTGCAAGTCACTTACAGTTCTATAACAATTGCCCCAGGTTTAATTTCGTCCATCTCCATGAAAGCAAAGCACTTGGTGCTAGTAAACCTTTTCTTAGGCTTGTAGTGTTTGAATTCAAAGAAAATAGCTGCACCTAGAGTGGAAAATGGTTTAATAGAAAAGTTAGCAATTATGGCCAACAGTTACCTGAAAACTTATCTGCCATTAAGATGCTCTACATACATTAGATGGAATTATCTCTGCTTCTGTTATTTACTCAAAAGCTATACCATGTTCTTACAATGCTCATCACACTCAAGAGAGTTTGTACTCTTCACTCCATTATTCATATCCAGGTAACAGTTTATCCAATGACTAAGAAAGTCATAAAGCAGCTCAATACCTGTGAGGCAGAGCAGACTGCTGCATTTTTATC